GATGATGATCATTTTTTTTGTTGTTGTTGTTGTTGTCGATGATGATAGCCAAGTACATACAATAATAATTTCTTTTGAAGTAGAAGAAAAAAAAAAAAAGAATACCAAAACACACACACACACTCACAAAGATACGGAGACAGACGAATTTGATTTATGATAAATTCTTTTAGCTACCGGTCTTACGAAGATGACTAAGAGAACATACACGCATACACTCACACATAATAAACGTATATATTCTTCTCGTATGATTTCCTCCATTCTTCATCCACCATATGGAACGAATATCTATATTTGTATTCACAGGTAAAAAGTGTTTGATCGTATAATAATAGTGTGACAAGGAACAAAAAAAACTTACCTCGAGCCAAGTTTTTTATTTGTCTTCGTATGTGTGTGTGTGTGTGTGTGTGTGTGTGTTGTGATTGGAATGGCTCGAGCCCGTAAGCCAGATAATTATTCACTTTTTTTTTGCTGATTTTGACAAAAAAAAAACAAAAGTAGACAAAACAAACGAACGATAACATTGAATATTGAGATATCCTGGTTGGTTTTCAAACACAAAACCCCCATCGTCATACGAATGAATGTGATGAGAAACAATGTTTCAAACAAAAAAAAAATAAAGAAAAAAAATGTATACACAAAGCAACATCATTGCTATTATAATCAGTAGCGATAATAGGAAAAAAAATAAGGAAGAAAAATGGAAAAAATTTCATTTTTTCTGTTTTGAAAAACCAAACTACCGAGAAATGTACCGAAATGATTTATGAATTTTAACAATGATGATGATCATTATCATCACTACAATAACAATGATAATGATGATGATGATGATGATGATGATCATAACGCAAATTCTAGAAAAAAAATTCGAAACGAATTTCAAGTGACATACGAAACAATCGATGTTCGATTGTTGATGTTTTCCGTTGTTTTTATTGTTGTTGTTGGTGTTTGTTGACATTATGTCAACGTTAATTGATGAGTAGCCATTATTTTTAAATGTCAATTTGGATATTTTTTTTTCGTTTAATGAGACCACCGTGAGTATGAATGTAAGTGGACGGCTTAATGACCGAAAAATGACGATGATGATGATGATGAATATTGCAACAATTTTTTTTTTGTTCATAAGAACGTCGATAATGACCGCTCATTTAGATCAACTAATGATTCATCATCATCTGTTTTGTTTTCGTTTGTTTTACCATCATATTTTTGGACCCTATACTTTGGGTATAATTCCATCTACACACACACAAACACAATGATTTTATTGCCAGTGAATATATAGAGATTCTTCATCAACATGATATTTAAAAAAGCAAAAAAAAATCAACGAAAAATATATTAATAAATAGGAAAAAAAATATAGAAGAAGAGGATGGAAAATGAGTGGGAGGAGTGTGTGTATATATATATCACAGTGAAAATCTCAACACAAACACCAAAAAAAAAAACACATTTGTCATTTGTCTTTGTTTTGTCTATTTTTTTTTTTAAATAATAATAATTGTCATTTTAGTTTTGTTTTTCATACTGCATGCATATTTTTTTTTGTTGTCTATTCCGGTCAAATGTGCAATCATTAATTTTGAATGTAAAGAAAATAAAAATAAATTGAATAAAAAAAAATTTGAACACTGACTATAATTATTCACAATCATTGTCCTTGGACCTTTGAATCGTTTTTCGTTTCCAGAAATTCAATTGATATAATGATGATCATGGACAGGATGAATAGGAAGAGATGGGCCATTATCAACAGGTCATCAGGTCTTGGTTTAATAATAATAAAAATAAAATATCAGAGAATTGTATTGATTGTCCATCGTTATTCTGTATTTTTTTTTTTTTTTGTTCATCATCATCATTAACTTGGATAATGGATTTTATCTATGAAGAAAAACAAACAATTAATGGATTATTTGATCAATGATACAATGGTGAATAATAAACAGTGAAAACTATCATCACGGTCATATTAAAAAAAAGATATAATAAGAATCCACTAATGAACAATAACAAAAATCAATCATTAATCGACATCTTGACAAAATAGTTAAAAAAAGGGGGCTAATTATGATTTGGTCAAAAAAAAATTATAATCGATTTTGAATAATCGATCAATCGAATCGGCAGTATTGATAATTTGAATGATTAAATTTTACGCAAAAAAAAACCAAGAAAAAATAGGGTCGTGTTCATGACTCATCATCATCAATCAAACAAACATCCAGACAGATTTGTTTGTCTGTCTGATTATCATCGTGTCTAGTTTGATTATGTGCCAGATATATATGTCTATATTTGTTGAAAAGGGATCTGGAATTGAAATGATTTTTTTTTTGGCTTTGGATTTGACATAAATAGCATTATTATATAATATGTGTCACACACTATTATTCCGTTGACAATCGAAACTATGTAATATTTTGGGTAAAATGTTGAAAATTTTTTTTTAAATCGATTCTTTCGTTCATCACCTGCTGATTCGATAATCTTTTTTTTCTAAAGAAATGAATTGTTTTTTTTTCTAAATTGAAATCAATTGATTGATTATTATTTTCGAAGAATCAATGTTAATATCTATTTTTTTTATTTTTTTGGTTAGTCATTAAGATTTGCCTTTTTTTCTATTGTTGTTGACCATTAACAATGATCCAAAATCATCATCATTAACGTAGCGGTCAGTGAACGTAATCACCTGAAATCTATTCTTTATTTTTCTCTCTCTCTCTCTCTCTCTCTCTTTGGCTGACTATTCAAAGATTGATTTAAGATTAATGGATATTGTTATTGATTTAATGATAATGATGATGCTCACCCCTAACTTTCCAAAAAATGAAAAAAGAAAAGAAAAGAAAAGAATAGATTATCAATTCGATTCATTTGAAAACATACTATTATATATTTGTGTTTGTATGTTGGACAAGGCAATCTCCCCATTTATATGTTATTATATCAATGAGCATCCATTGTTATATATTGGATATCATCATTAACGACAGCAACAGCAACAATAACGAAAAAAAGAAAATGAAAGAAAGATTCGCGATGCTCAACCAAAAACAATGATCCATTTAAATGATCTTGACCATCATTCTTCATCATCATCATCATCTCTGAATGATGAATGAGAGGAATCAAAAAAAAAATCATAAATCCTTTAAATACACCTGGCGAAATGATTTTTTTTTTTTTTTGCCGAGTTAAAGCGCATCATCATACTGTGTTTAAGTGATGGAATTTTCTAAAAGTCTAAAAATTCTGAAAATAAATGGTAGTACTAGTTGCAACATTTCGACACAAGGTGGCATTACAAATCATCATCATAATCATTATTACTTTTGAGGATCATTCACACTTTTCCTGTGCTATCCAAAAAACTTTAATATATATTTATATAATATATATGGGTAAGCAATGTATGTGTATTATATAATGATGATATGAGTAAGATTACCCCGACATCATCATCATCATCGTCGTCGTCAGAAAGAAAGCAACAGAAAATCAAGGCAAACGAACTTATGCGTGTGGCCATCAACCACCACCAACCAACCAAACAAACAACCAAAGCAAGGTGATCGGGATGGTTGTTTTTCACACTGGATGATGATGATCATCATCTGAATCCATTCATTGCTGGTGGAGGCAAGCAAAAGAAAAAAACCAAATTCTTGGCTCGTTTGTTTTTGTATTTTGTTCGCGCGATTCCAAAATTATGTTGTTGTCGTTAGACTGGTTTTTTCGTTTTTCCCCTTTCTATTCAACGGACCCCTACTAAAAATCGTTGCTTTTTAAAAGTGATGTTTGTTGTTGTTATGTTTGTGTGTTTGAAATCGATTGAATCAAAAACCAAAAACCGACTAACCAGCCAACCAGCCAGCCAGCCAGCCAACCAACCAACCAACCAACCAACCAACCAACCAACCAACCAACCAACCAAACCAGAATTTGGAGATAGAGAGGCGCGAATGCTAAAATTATATGGATGTTTCGTGTGTGTGTGTGTGTGTGTATGTGGAGTTTTGCCGCTACTTGCATCGATTCATAAAAGAGTATATTTGAGTAGGTTCATTGTCGATTGTTATTATTATTTTGTTGTTGTTGTTGTTGTTGTTGTTGTGGAGAGGAGGGAGGACAGGACGCGGCAATAAAAAAAACAAACATCCACCATCATCATTTTTTGTCGGGGACCAGACAGATCTCATTGTATATTATTATTTTTCGGGTATAACCTGTCTACATCATTGCCTGCAATATATTCCCACACTTTATTATCCTCCTCCTTCTTCTACTCCCTATTTTCATATATGAAAAAGGTGAGAGGGTCGCTATTAGCGATTCTTAAAAAGCGGGAATAAATTCCATTCCATCTTTTTTTATAATGACCATAACAATAACATCTGACCACTACCAATAGCCCCGACACACATACTGATGATGATGCACAGGTAGATGGCCGTAGCGCAATTCATTCATGCCTTCAATTCGACGGGTTGACAACAACAACAACAATAATAACAAATAATAATATAGTGAACCAAGGTGGTCAAAATGCATATTCCTTACAACAGATACATCATCATCATCATCAGATTTTACAGTCAAAACTCTATGTTCGACAACCAGCAGATGGTTAGCGTGTAAATCTATAGAAAAATATGTTCCACTTGGAATGATGATGATCAAAATAAGGATGGAAAACAAAAAAACGAAGTTCGTCCATAGTTTGTCTGTTGCTAAGGTGGTCGATCGGCAACGTTTAGTGTTTAGTTCGCCGATGCGGTATTGACTGTATTCAAGAATGTACTTAAACTTTAAAATAAATCAGGTAGTGGTATATTAATAAATGGATATAAATGGAATAAAAAAAATAATACCGGCGACTCACGATAATCAATGCTACTACTACAGAAAAAAAATTAACAACAACAACAAACAGATATCACAGTAACAAATATCATTCATCATTGTGAGAACATTGAACGCTCGTATATATATAGGCTCAAAATGATAATATTTACCCCTACTACCATCACACTCAATTCTTTGATTCTCGTTATCGATTAACAACAACAACAACAACAACAAAAACAAGCCAACAAAACAATTGTAATATAAACATATGAAACACGTTTGCCAGTATATACGTTTTTTATTATCATTTCAATAACGCGCCAAATTTTTTCACAAACGTTCATGCTACTACTATTTTGAATTATTGGTTATGATTCATAAAAATAATTACAAATTTAGTTTAAAGTAGATAGTAGCATTATAATGAATTAGTATATTAAAGTTCAACCACACCATCATCATGGCCACTACTATTATTATACATCATCGTTTTTATATATAGTATGATGTATGCTATTTACAGAAGAATATTTTTTTGTATCCAACCACAAATACATAAAGTTCATTGATTGATATACCACTACTTTCTACATTGTGCAGTGTCTGCAGTGTTTGTGTATGTGTAGTATCTTGACATTTTCTAATGCCGATCATCATCATCATCATCATCATCCAATTGGTTAGTATCTTTTCATTGATTTGGTTTGTTCATTGTTGTCGTTGTCGTCTTCGTAGTCGTCGTCATCGCGCGCGCGGAGTCTTCGATCATCACCGCCACCGCCACCACCGTCATCATCATCATCATCATATTTTGGCCATGTCAATGTATGGTATATGACGGCCAATGTTTTTTTCTTTTGCATTTTCTCTTGCTCATCTCTTTTTCGAAAAATCGGGCTTAGTATTCTCATCATCGTCATCATCACCATCGTTATTATTTATTATTGTATTTTGTTGCTATGAATTGATTGATGTTTACTTACATTTTAAGTGAATGGAATTTCTGTTTATTTCCTTTGAATACAAGAAAAAAAAACATCTCGATTCTTTCTTTTTGAACATTCTACATTCTAAACCTTTGGTGTCTTATACACAACAGCGCACTGAAAAAAAGGTGAGATTCATATGAAAATACAAGCAAGTATTACTGACCAAACGAATGTTTTTACAACAAGAATGACCGAAGACAGAAGATTAAATTCTATTATGTTTGTGTTTGTATATGGATCATCAACATTATTGAATTCTAATCTATCGTAATTTGAATAATCTTTTTTCCTTGTGTCTCTAAATATATTTGTTTGTTTCGATTATCATTATCATCATCATCATCATCTTGATTATAATAGCCAAGAATAGCTAAGTGAAACACAGTGAAAATAAGTTTCTTTTTCTTCTAGAAATTAAAAAGTTTTGTGTGTTGCCTAAAAGAATTGTGAATTGAGAAGAAGGCTATTCATTCATGCAATTCAAATGAAAACAACAACAATAACAACATTGTACATGTGTATGTTAGTTGTAGACTTTAACATCATCATCACAATCATAATCAACGAATACGAATATGAATATACAAAACCCCAAAAAGTGAAACGAAAAATGACGATTGAGGCTCGAATTCTTTTCACAATAATAATAATAATAATAATAGATAATAATAGATAAAATATAATAGTGAGCCATATACACATGCATAAATATAAAATGAAAAACTACGCGCCAAAATAGCAATAACAAGCAGCAAACAATAACAAAAACAAAAACAACCTGAAAAGTACATGAAGACCAATTTGGATCATACTGGTTCGGTTCGATTCGTTTCGTTTGTGTGTGTGTGTGTCAGCTGGAATGTATTTTATTTCGGTTAAAAATAAAAGTTGTTGTTGTTGTTGTTGCTTATTTATATGGTGATGTCATAATCATTGTTTGTGTGTTTGTGAATTGGAAAAATAACGATGAAAAAAAACAAGAAAAAAAATTTTGAACGGATCACATTGCATCACATTGTTTGTTGTTGTTGTTGTTGTTCAATACCCGCTATTTTTCATGATAACATATTTGTTGGATCCAAACTTTTTTTCTGTCTGTCATTCCAAAAATTGGCCTTGTTTTTGTTTGTCAGCCATAAACAAATGATTTGTTCAATGTTCTAATATGTTCTCTATGATGATGTTGATGACTCACATTTCCACAGGCCACAAGACATTGCTTTCCACCCACCCTCAAAAATTTTCATGATTGTATCATCTCTAATTTTGTTTTTTCTTTTCTTTAGATCCTATTCGGTATTCAAACAGTTGGATTTTGATTTTTTGAAATTTTCATTCATCTTGTGACCAACAAAAAAAAACTGTGTGCATGTGCGTATGTGTTTACTTCAAATCTTGTGATGATGACGACCAACACCATATAGACCAAATGATGATTATCAAGCGAAATTTTTAAAAGAAAAAATGGAATGAAAATAAAAACAACCAACCAAATGTGAAAAGAAAATTGAAGAAAGTAAAAAAAAAAAAAAAAGATCAAAAGTCCAATATATCAAAACGAACGACGTCATTCGACGACAAACAATCAATGAATCGAACATTTTCATTATTAGATACACATCACTATTTGATTTGATTGATGAATAAATGAAATAGAGAGAGATAGAGAGAGAAAAAAAAATGACATGATGTAATCGATGCTATTACATGTGAAATTTTTATGAATGACGTAGACTCATTCTTTCTCTCTTGTCACTTGTATCTGCTACTTGTGTTTGTGTCCATCGTTTATACTAAATTCTATTTTTGTTTTAAAAATTGTGACCATAATCCACCTTCATTGATGAAGAAAATAAACATCATCATCATCATCATTATCAAAATTGATACAATTAAACAATAACCGGAATTGTGTTTTTTTTTATATGTTATTGTTTCCATCTGAATCAGATGGTAGTTATTCATCAATAAATGTCTGCCTGTCTGTTATTATGTAAAATAATAATACGCAATGTGTTGTGATTGATGCGTATGTGTGTGTGTGTGTGTGATGATCAAAGGAATAATGATGAATTGTTATAAACAACCAATCATTTGATGACGCGCCATCATTAATCTCATAAGCAGCTATGATTCATCATTACCGGAAATTATCATCATCATCATCATCATCATCATCATCATCATTGTATATTTTAGAATTATAATCATCTGAAAAATTGTTTTTTTTAGCTAGAAACAAAAAATTAACCATCTTTAACATATAATAATAAAATTCTTTAAAACTATAAGCTATTTTCATCTACAACATAGATTCTATGTCTTTGCGAGTGTGTATATGTTTTATCTGAAATTGCACTTTTTTTTTAGTTACATTACTACTGTTTTAATTTGTTTTCTTAGAATTTTGACATTTTTATCAACACAACAACCTACACCATCATCATCATCAAACAACAACATCACCATCGTAAGACAAGATATTTTGTCCATTTCGGGCATTATTATTGTCTATGTCTGTCTGTCTTTGTGTCTGTTTATGTGAAACATAAATAAAATTGTTGCATCACTTGTTCTATGGAATTTTCGATTCCACATTTTTTCTCATTTTAATTTCTTTCATCTGTTTTTGATGATATCATCATCATCAGTATATTTATTTCGACAAACAAAAAATTATCCATTCATATTTTTATTCAAAGACAAAATCACTGTCTATCACATTTTTTCGTGTGTGTTTGTTGCTGTGTATGATATATTTGTTTGTTTGTTTGATCAATAACAACACCACCACAACAACAACAACAAAGTTAACCCTTTTTTTGGTCCAAATTTTTTTCTTTTTTGTTTTTCATGATCATCATCTTGAAATAGGTTAATCTTTAACACCACCACCAACAACAACAACAATCAGTGTTTTTCAAATATTATTTGTGTGTGTGTGTGCTGTCTATGTGTGTACTACTTATCAAGAATTTGAATCTTTTTGTTTTGTTTTTGGTCATTTAAAAACAAATCATCATCTCATCATTTAACTCTGAATTTAAAAACAACAACAGATCCAATGTTACTGCCTTCGGTCATCATTGCCGATACAGGTAAGATTTTAATTGATTTTATTTAATGAATGAAAGACATTTTTTTTGATACAAATAAAGTAGAAATAAAATTCAGTAAATTGATCGGATCTTGCCATTTTGATATGCATTTATTATATACATAAAATACGTAAAAGTTTTTTTTTGAATGATAATATCACACAATAGAGTATATTGCTGCTTGTTTCGTAAATCTATCAAAGACCGAACGGGCTTTGTAAACCTCCACCCCTCACACACACACACACACTACAACTTGACTTGAACTTTCAAAATGACTTGACCAGATTTTTTTTTTTGAGAACCACTTGTCGGGTTTTTATTTTTTTTGGTCATTCACATTGTACACACACACACACACAGACACAAACACTCTTCATAAACAGCATACAGTAATAACGATATCCAATTTGGTTTATATGGAAAACAAAATAGATGATGATGATGATTGTAAGATGAAGAACAGATGCCTTTTTCTTTTTTGATTTTTGATTCTCACCAGACACACACACACACACACACACAAACATTCAATAAAAACAGATTTTTTTTGTCCTGTTTTTGTTTACTAAACTACTGTTTCTGCCTTCAACAAGACTTGATTGCTAACTATAAGCTATAGCCATCAAGGCCATGTTTTTTCTCGACCTGACCTGACCTGTTGTTTCAAGTGAGAGTGAAAAGTTGTTGTTGTTGAAGAGAAATAGGAGAAAAAATAGGACCAAATAGGCTATCTGTGTTATGGTAGGATGTTGTTGGTTGTTTTTTCCCGTCTAGAATTCGATCTGAATAAAACTTTTGTGATAGATAGAATATGTTGTAAAGATTTATTAAATCAATAATTATATAATAATAACAAAACGGTAGAAATTTTGACAAGTCTTTTCTCTGATGATTTGAATCGATTTTTTTCTTTTCTTTTATTTCTGGTAGTAGAATTGTCGGATGAGAAAGTAGTCATTTGTTTGTGTTTTTTTCTTGTTAAAAATTTCTCATTCTACACAAATAATATCGGAAAAGAGATTGTGGGAGTAGGAGTAGGAATGTTGTCATCGTTTTTTGTTATCGAATCAATTTGTTTGATAATGAACATACGATCACCAGATCTAATTATTAATTTGTTTGTTTGATTGATCGATCGTTCGATGGATTGATTGATTGATTGTAATACATTGTATCAAGCAAAAAAGCAGGAAATCCAATAGTATATGTATGATCATCATCAACATCATCATTTTTTTAACCACTTGACTTTTTTTCTGATTGATTTTCTGTGTTTGTTTGATTGATTGATTGCTTGATTGATTGATTGATTCAATGATGATGATGATTATTATATAATTTATATCGCATTCTTGAAGAAGAATTATAGCCATGTGTACCTGTGTGTTTTATTGAATATATAAGTATATATACACACATACACATGATGAGGATGATCGGTGGTTTGCCAGACAGTCAATTTTTTTCTGGATTATGTTTGCGTTTTTTTCCTATTTTTAGTTCAAATGTACCGATTTTTACAAATGGATCACAAATGAATGAATGATGATCAGTTTGATGATTGGATTTAATGAAAAATGTTCCAATGACATTAAGAAACTGTTATTGTTGTTGTGGTGGTGGTGGTGGTGGTGATGAAATTATACCACTCGATTTACAATCGATTATTTTTTATTTGGCTTCTTGCCCAATATAATTTATTAGTCGGCAACTATATTATATTTTGGCATCATCGTATTTTTATTTGAATGAATTTTTTGTCGTTTTTTCGTCTCAAATTTCGTTTGTCTTTGATTTTTTTCAAAAAAAAAAAAAATTCCATCATCCCATCAGACCATGAACAACGAAATGTTTTGTTTTTTTTTATGTCTAGGTTAAATATTCTATTGAGCAAAATTGACTTTGTCGATTTTTTTTTTGCTTTTGTTTTTATAGCTATGAAAGCATTGATATTCAACGGGTTAATCATCATCATCAATAACAACAAAATTACCAAACAAAAAAAAATTATAAAGAAAAAGATTATTTTTTTTTCTTTAGTTTAAAAAAACACATGATCAATCATGCAATCACACATCAGGTCAGTGCTGATTCTGATCAATTTGAAAATCTTTTTTTTCTCTCATAATTCCATCATAATAATTGGTTTTTTTGTTTTTTTTTGTTTTGGATAATTAATCCGAATGAAGCATGTGTTGAAACTTACTGCTACTACTATCGCCACCACCACCACCCCCCAATGAATACAAGATAAGGACAATATTATGGTTTGATCAAAAAACTACTTGAAATTCTGTTGATGTGGTGAACAAAAAAAAATCCAACCACAATCATTAAATTATATAACCAATCAAACTCTTCTTGTTTTCAATGTCCTCTGTTAACCTTTTTTTTGTTGTTATTTTCATCATCATCAAATGATCAAACAAAAATGTATCATTTATCATTCGATTTTCGTTTGCTTGTTGTTTTTATTATTATTATTATTATTATTTTAGCTTATAAAACATATTCCAATTCCAATCCAGAATCTTTGAATAACCCTCCCCCGTCGATGCATGCATATACATGGTTTTTTTCAATTCTTTTTTCCATTCTATTTTTTGCGCGCTTGATTAGTTAATCCTCATTTGTTATTGTCATCTATCTATAGTATACAATAACATAGATCCAATTTGTATATATAAGACAGATAAATATATAGATATGGTCTAAAAAGAATAATGTGAAACAAAACGACAACAACAGCAAAAAAAAATGTTGTCATCCATATTGTCATCACCATAGATGACCACCACCAAGATGTGAGCTATAAAAAAAAGATGTTAATTGTATGTGAAATGTAAAACAAAAGATCAGATCATTTGATTTGTAGCTTTGGTTGGTTGGTTAATAGTTCACAATAGTGGTGGTGGTGGTGGTGGTGATGGTGGTTATTGTCCAAACAAACAAAACAAAAAACAAGAGAAGAGAAAAAATTTGTACAATCGGATTTTCTTTCACATTATCCGATTCTAATATATCTCATTTTTTCATCTTCATTCATTCATTCATTTTTTTTTTGTTCGTTTGCCTCGAATTTGGTTTTGTTTGTTTGTTCTGCGATAGATAGATAAATACCATGATAAAATGTATCATTTTCAGTGCATTTGTGTTTCGGTTATTTTTTTTCGACGTTAACAAGCAAACAAAAAAAAAAAAATATGAAAAACCGGCCTTATAATAACCAAAAAGAAAATGAAAAAAGAGCAAACTAGACATAAATTTTTTTCCCATGTGCTGGTATTTTTTATTTTATTTATTTTTTTCTCTTACCCCATTGAAATAAAAGCAAATTTTCTAAACAAATATAAATTATCAATGGAAGAAAAAAAAAGTTAAAAAACCCTGAATTGACTATAGGAATTTTTGATTGTGTGTTTGTGGATCCATAGGCTAATAATACAACCGATTAATTTCAATTAGATAATCTGCTATAGTAGTGGTATGTTGTTGTTGTTATTCCATACATTCTACCAAACTAAAAATATTCGATGATTATGATACAATCATTATCATCACGTACAATCATCATCGTCATCATCATCAAAACAAATAAAAATGTTCTATCGAATCGATAAATATGATGACCGATTGCCGTATTAGTTGAAATTAGACGGGCCAATTTTTTCTTGTTTCGCCTCATTTTTGACCATTATCCACACACACACAATATGGATGGATCATTATTTGAAACAAAAAGAAAGAAAAAAAGATTTCTACTCGTATAGAATTGTTGTTTGGTTTTTCTTTTGTTTGTTTTTGTATTTTTCTCTGTTTGTGTTTGTGTGTGTATGTTTGCAATATCCAAAATTTCTATAATTCCCGGATTCAATTCCATTCGGAATATATTTTATAGTGAAATGAAAGTGGGAAAAAGGGAAAGTCATGAAGTAGCATTGAAGAGTTATGAATTTAAGAACATTTATGTTTATGATGATTAATCATAACAAAACAAAAACACATCGATCTCCATTTTGATTTCGAAAAACGATAAGCTGAAATAAAAAAAAAACTCATTATTACTAAATGGCCAATTTGAATTTCGACCCAGAAAAAAAAAATGAGATAGAAAAAAAAATACTTAATCTTGCCCGGGCTTTTTTTCCCGTTTGTTTGTAATTGTATTGGATTCATTCATTCATAATCCATCATTAAATGAATATATATTTACTTTTATTCTTGCATCATCAACTTATCCACAGTTATTGTTATTGTAGATCAAATAATAAATCCAATCAATTTGATAAATATTTTACAATATATAAGTCAATTCTTTATTTTCTAACACAATTATTATATCTTTATATATACCTTATTTGATTTTGATTTAATTATTGAATAAAATGAATTTGTTTCAAATTTTTTGTTTATATGTTTGACATTTAGAATTTGATATTGCACTGTGTCTGTGTGTGTTTGTGTGTGTGTATGATGAATTTCAAAGAAATTTTTTTTTTTACTTTTCATTTTTTATCTAACACCTTTTTTTGGTTGTTGTTGTTGTTGTTTTTTTTATGCAAGTTGTTTGTTTGCCCATTGAATGAATGAATGAACTGCGAAAAATGCCAAAAGGCGTGTTTGTCTGTGGATTTAGATTTAAAATAGAAAGATCCGATTTGAAATATTATGTAATCATTTCTTGATGGTTTCGGGTTTTTTTTCGTTTTTTTTTGTTTTGTTGCACCACGTTGATCCGTTAATATGCAACAATGTTTGTTGTGTGTAGCATATGACTTTCAACAATTATGATTACACATCTACCATTTCGATTCTAACAATAAAAAAAACATGTAAATCAAATCAATCAATGAATCATTGGTTTTATCATTTAATTAAATAATATTCGTGGTTGTTGGTTCTTACTATTTTATGCCGAATTCATTGGGTTTTTTTCTGTTTGTTTATTTGTTTATTTGACACTCCCCTACGCTTATACAGAATGAGAAAATTTTTTG